TGGTTTTATCACACAGGGTGCTATGATTTGACCTTAACTAAATAGCACCTTTCAGATTCAAAGCAAGTGACTGAAAAGACCATGGCCTGAATCAGGTGGACCTTAGTCCTCAAACTAATATAATTGTTCTTCAATAATTTGGAGAGGCCCCTGACTGCAGTCTTTCCCACTCCAATACGTCTCCTGATCTTCTAACTGCTGGTAACAAGTGTATTGATTGTGGAACTAAGTAAGGTGAAGTCACTGACTGTCTCAATTCTGAGAGCTGGACAATAACAAAGAATGACATGAGGAGAACAAATGCCTTTGAGCTGTGTGGTATTCCTTGGAGAGGGACATCATGCTTAAATGATCCAAGAAGCATCAAACGAAGATGGAAGGAGTACATAGAGTCATTGTACTAAAAAGAACAGAAGAATTTCATCAAACATAAGATCAAGAGGCAATGGTGATGGAGGAAGTTCAAGCTGCTCTGGAGGAATTGGCAAATGACAAAGAAAGCCCCACGAATTGATGAAATACCAACTGACATATTTCAACAAACACATGTAACCCTGGATGTGTTCACCAGGTTGTGTGAAGAAATCTGGAGGACAGTTACCTGGCCAACTGACTTGAAGAGATCCAAAATTCAAAAAGAAAAAAAAAAGGTGATTCAACAGTGTGGAAATTATCAAACAATATCACCAATAACTCTGGGTGTCTACGGTTTATCATTCAAATGTCTTCTCTAGCCAACTTTATTTTCTGCTGAAGTAATTATTGTATGAAGAAAAGAGGATTAAATTGGGATACAACCCCCATCCTACTAGAGGCTTATATAAGCTCATGGGACCTTGGCACCAAGCATCTTTTTCTTTTGGAAAAGCTCACTCAAGACCTAGCTTTCATCTGCTCACCAGTCTCTACACCACCAGCCTACATCATCCACAGTCCCCATCTAGCTGTGCCACAAATGACAGTCTACAGGAGCCTGGCCCATCACTTCCAGTTTTTCCAAAACCAGCCTACTACCTACAGTCACTTGAGTCATTTCCCTAATGGTCTGAGAGTCTAGGAGACCTTCTAGTGAATCATCAAACCCAAGGGACATAAAGGAGCTAGGAAACTGAGAAAAAGAGGTGCTACTGATGTCAGTAATCATGGACTTATAAAGTAGGTCAAACATGTTGACCTGATCCTTCTTATAATCTCCTATTAGTCTTAGCAGGACAAATTATCATAACATATCACGCGCAAACAAAATCTTGCTGTAGATTATCCAAAAACCACTGGAACAGTACATCGACAGAACTATAAGAAATACAAGCTGGGTTTAGAAGAGGCTGTGGTACTAAAGACATCACAGCCAATGCTAGAAGGATCTAACATGAAAGCAGAGAGTACTAGAGGACTGTCTGTGATTCATTGGTTATGCAAGACATCAGACTGTGTATCACAACAAACTGTGGCTAACCTTGAAAAGAATGAGAATATCAGAAAACCTGGTTTTGCTCATGTGAATTCTATACTTGGACCAGGGAGCAGTTGTCATAACAGAGCAAGGAATCATTGCATAGTTCAAAATCAGGAAAGGGGTGTCAGAGATGCATCCTGTCTTCATATTTTTTTCAATAAATATGTGGAACAGATCATTTGGGAGGCTGAACTTTATGAGGAAGAATGTGGGATCAGGATTGAACTGGAGGAAGGCTCATCAACAATCTGCTTCATGAAGATGACACAACCTTGCTTGCTGAAACCTGAAGCACTTGCTGCAGAATGTCAAGGACTATAGTCTTGCATATGAACTGAAGCTTAACATCAAGAAAACAAAGATTTTTCACCACTAGGCCAACTGGCAGCACCATGATAGATGGAGAAGAAAATGAGGTTGTTAACAATTTTGGTTTGCTCTGATTGTGATCAACAATCTTGGCACCAGGAGTCAGGAAATCAAAAGACAAATTGCATTAGGAAAATCTGCTGTCAGGGACCTCTCCAGAGTACTAAAGAACAACAATATCAGGCTAGAGGCTAAGGTGCACTGGATCCAGGCCATGGTCTTCACAATTGCTTGTTACACATCAGATAGCTGGACAATAACTTAGGATGACAGAAAAAGAATTGATGCCTTTGAGTTGTGGTGCCAGAGAAGAGTACATAGATTGCCGAAAGAACAAACAGGTCTGTCCTGGCAAGGGTGAAACCAAATTGCTCCTTGGAGGCAAGGATTTTAAAGTTCCCTGTCTATTTCAGGCATGTTGACAGGCATAATCAGTTTATGGAGAAGGATATCATGCTTGGAAGACTGGAGGGACAATGCAGAAGAGGAAGACTCTGGATGGGATAGACACAGCAATTGGGAGTAGGTGTGTCTGAGACAGTGAGAATCAGGATAGGGCAAGGTTCAGAGCTATTGTGCATAGAATCCCTGTGAGTTGAAGTCAACTCCACAGCACATAACAACAAACAATGGTTTAAGATAGGTCTCAGGATTAATTTTTTAATAGTTATTTCAGCACTATTTGTTGAAAAGATTTTCCTTTACTTTCTCCACTGGAATGGTTTAGTACCTTTGCCAAAAATTAAACGATTCTTTAAGAATGTGTTTCGATTGGCACAAGGCACATTACAGTTGTCTCTGTTGCTTGTTAATACTTACATTAATACCAAAAAGCCCTGGCTGCACAATGGTTAAGGGTTCACCAAAGGGTTAGCATTTCAAATCATCCAGCACTCCCACCATGGCAGCACTAGAAAGAAGTACTACAGCCATGGCTGTCCGCCAACCCATGAATATGGGCCTCAACAAAGGCCACAAAGTAAACAAGAACATGAGGAAGCAGAGGCACTGCCGCCACCTCACCCAGCACACCAAGTGCGTGCAGGGGCATGATCCATGCGGGGAGATCCGGGAGGCACGCCCTAGAGCGTTGCTCCATGGAGCTAGCTGCTCAAGGTCTCCAAAGACAAACGGGCCCTCAAGTACATCAAAAAAAAGGGGTGGGAACACACATCTGCAATAGAGGAAGGAAGAAATCAACAATGTCCTGGTCGCCATGAGGAAGGCGGCTGCCAAGAAGGGCTGAGTGCACCCCACTATCCCCCAAAGCCCTCAACCCTCTGACATAAGAAAATGTAATGAAAAACAACACACAACCCCGCCCCACCCCCAGCAGATCTCCAGAACTCTGCTGCCTCCACAAAGGGTAGAACTTAAAACAAATGCTTTGAGCAATTCTACTCTGTCACAGGGAGTTATCTGTGAGGCTGAACCAACTCCACAGCATCTAGCAACAGCACAGGCTAGACAAATGCAGCTATGAGTCTTGATGCCACTTACAGACACATAATCTAGGTCCTACAATATGTTTTTCTTTTTCAAAACTGCTTTAGATATGCTAAGCTCTTTATTTTGTTTTTACATATAAATTTTAGAATCCTTTTGCTATATTAAAAAACAAAAACCACCCCACACCACCAAACAGAAACAAAACCAAATGAACTTTACCAAGAAACCTGTTGGAGGATAGTGCTGAATATCCCACAGACTGCCTCAAGTATAGACAGATACATTTTAGGGAAAGTGTAGCCAGAGTGCTCCTTGGAGGCAACGATGCCAAAGCTTTGACTCTCATATTTTGGGCATGTTGCTAAGTGGAGGGTAAACAAAAGAAAGGAAGATCCCCAACTGACACAGTGACTATAGCAGTAAGCTCAAGTGTATCAGAGATGATGAGGCACAGGATAAGTAGGACAGGGTTCAGATCTTTTGTTCACAGGGTTGCTATGAGTCTTACACAACTCAATGGCACCTAACAATCAGTTAAAACCCTACTGATCATTATTTTATATATTGCTGGATTTTATTTGTTAATATTTTATTAAAGATTTACATATGCTTTTGAAAGATATAAATCCGTAATTTTTTGTTCCCATTTCTATGCTTCAAGAGTTATACTTGTTATATTGGGACATGTTCCTCTTATGAAGGAATTTCTATAATTTTGGCTCTTATTTCTTGATTATTTAATAGAATTCATGAGTAAAACTATCTGTGAATAGCATTTTTCTATGGGAAGACTTTTAATAATGAATTATATTGTCAAGTTTATTGACATAAAGTTGTTTGTGGCATTCTCTTATTATCTTATTATGCTTTTTATTTTATTATCCTCTCTAATTCTCTTATTCTTCTTTTTTATTCTTTCCTCAATTATTCTTTAATTAAAATCTGTGGTTATTCTCAACTGTTGCTTCTAAACAACCATTAAAATCAGCTGGCCAATTTCCTTAGCATGAAGTTACAGAAATTTTGACTAGTCTACAGGTTTGTCCTAGAGAAGGTAATAAATATAATTTATTAATTATAATAGCTAATGAAACCCTGGATTACTCAATATTTTGCCCATAGCATCTTTCAGTATTGTAACTCAAGGCTCAAATTTGTTTTCCAGTTTTTTCAGCTTGAGAGATGTCAAGTGAATTCTTCCCTTTTTATTCTCCAATTCCAGTTATCTGCACATTCCAATTTAATACTTCACTTGGTCTTTACTAGCTGCCTTTTGTCTCTTATTCTTCTTAAGGTTATATTTATGAATATAACATGAAAACCTCTCTTTCATTCCTAATATTAGTAATTAATATTTTATCTTTTTTTCATTGATTAGTCAATTAGATATTTATCAATTTTGCTGATTATTTCTAAAAAATTGCCTTTTGGCTCCATTAATTTTCTCTTTTATCTATGTAGTTGATTTATGCTCTTGTACTTAATTATAATTTTTCCTTCTACTAAGAACATTTCTCTTTTTAAAGTGGGAGAGAAATACAGTTGTAAACTGAGGTCAAAAGCAAGTCTCTATGTTAGTCAAGACTTAAAGGATCTTAATTTCCTTTCCACATGTCAGGTCTTCCCTCCAGGCTTCTGAAGAGAATTTTTTAGCTTCTCAAGGATGTGCACCCTACCAAACTTAGCTGTCACCTGTGTAAGGGCTGGGCTATCCCTTCTTACTTACCACAGCATTGTTTTCTTTCTCCTTCCTTCATAATCATCCAGGGCTCCTTTTCATTCAATAAGGTAATCACATCTTGTCTAAAAATAGAAGGGCCTGCTTGAAGGAAAAATACAACATGTAATTATAAGCCCAAAGGTCCTTAACATTCAGAATTAGTTAAATTAATAGTAATTACAACTCAAAATGGTACTTTATAAAGTCAAAGAGCACAGAAAGGAAAAAAGAATGAATAAAATTCACATTAGGACAACTTTGGAACTATAAAAAAAGAGGCGAGACAGGGAAGGGTCTTTTCATAATTTAAACTTGTACTATCTCCCTTGAAAGGCAATAATGTACAACAGTTGAGAATACAAACTCTGGATCCAACTTCATGCATTCATGCCTGTCACCTAAGCAACTTACTAACTTCTTGTACCTAGTTTATGAAACGAGGGTAACAATATATTTTGTGGAGAACTGTTCTAAGTTTAATCAATTATGTAATACAAATCAAACAAGGCCTAACATATGCACAAAGGTGACATATGCATGTTAGCTCTTTATATTTTGCTGTTAGGAGAACAAGAGGCTTCCTAGGGCATTCACTGATCCTTCCTGGAATATTCATTCTATGTTAAATGTAAAATTTTTATATTTTAACTCTCAATCACAAAGCAGGTACAAATGAAGGCATCAGTTATATGAAACATAAGTCTTAAAAAAACTCTAAACCACATCACATAATTTGTAGAGGCTCCATTGGTTGGTAGAAAAACTCAGATTTCCTGTGGCCAGTTCAGACTCTCCTTGCAGATGGGTTAAAAAGCAATGCTGAACTGACATCCAAGCAGATATATCCACACCCATGTTTACTGCGGCTTTGTTCACAATAGTAAGGAGTTGGAAACAACCTAAGTGTCCATCAACAAACAAATGGATAGAGAAGCTATGGTATATTCACACAATGGAATACTATGCTGCATTGAAAAACAAGGAACTCATGAAATATTATTCAAAATGGGTGACCCTGGAGGACATTATGCTGAGTGAAGTATCTCAGTCACAAAAGAACAAATACTGCATGGTCCCACTGTTGTAAAACAGGCCGGCCTTCGGGGTTAGGGTGAGACTGAGAAAGATGGGTTCAATAATGTCTACTGCATTGAAACAGATGAGGGAGAAAACTGTTTAAAAGGGATATGTGATTAGGTATTTCTCTCATGACAGGAGTCCAGAGCGAAGGCTACATGTTGGAGTGGACTTTGGGGAGGGTTTGTAAAACAATGAAATAATTTTTCTTTTACTTTTCCAAGAGGGTAGCATACTAGGGGGGAAGGCTGGGAGGGGAGAAAAGTGCAACAATGAATAAATGGAAATCCAAAGTCTCCGTAAATTTTCATTGAAATTAATAATAAAGTTTAAAAAAATTCAGGGAGGGGTTGGAATGTGTGCATAACAAATAAAAAGGCTCATCACCACCACACTACTTGTAATATGGACACTTTGATACAATTCAAAGACCTACAATTGGAAAATTGTGAAGTAAATGGTGACATTTCCACTTAATAGAAGAGAAAAAAAAAGCAAGCTGAGATCAATTATTGCAATACTATGAAATCTGGTTGCTCAGACAAGCTTCCATTGTACATAATGCAAAATTCAAGTCCTTAGATATTGGATATTGAAGCAAAGAGGAAATTACAGGAAAAATCTCTCCCCCTTTTAAAAATCTAAAATATACAGAAAGCTGTGAAAAATGAGGTATTAAAATGTAAGGGTTCATTTCAATTTAATGAAGCTTAAACTACTCCACTGAGTTGTCGTTATTGTTAGGTGCCACTGAGTCAAGTATATCTCATAGCAACCCTGTAAATAATCCATTTGAACCCTGTCCTATCCTGTACCAACCTCACAATCTCTGACACACTTAAGTTCACTGTTGCAGTTACTACATCAACCCACCTGGCTGAGGGCCTATCTCCCTTTCACCATCCTGCTTCCTTTCCATGTATGATGTACCTCTCCACAGAATAGTCTTTCCTAGGAACATGCCCAAAGTATGAGAGACTAATCTTCACCATCCTTGCCTCCAAGGAACATTATGCACCATCTCCAAGAAATATCTGTTTGTTCTTTTGGCATGCCATAGGATATTCAGTACCCCATTGAGAGGAGGGAGCAAACATTTCGCTAGTTTCTCAAAAAGAGTCTTGAACTTGATAGTGGTGTAAGCCAATATTATTTGGGATAAATGACCTTACCTAGTGAGACAAAATTGCTATAGTTCTCCCACATCACATCTCTGTACAAGTCCCTCTGAGCTGGGTCCAGGTACTCCCATTCTTCCTGTGAGAAGTCTATGGCTACATCTCTGAATGTCATTGAATTCTGAAAAAATAAACTCACATTTTACTGGTAAAAGAAAATAAAAACTCTTAAAATGGAAAGTGCATTGCAAAGAAGAGAATATACAGCAAACAAATAGACTGGGATGAAAAGTTATGGCATGAGTAGAGTAAGGAAATTAGTATGACTGAAGCAGTGCACCTAATATATTTTCAAGAGTCCTATGGCTCCATATTGTGCTGCAAATCCAAAGATGGTTCCCTGGCAGTTTACCAGCAGTTCTGAAGGAGAAAGATGGGCAATCTTCTCCTGTGTGATTACTACCACTCAAAAACCAGCTGGAGGGTCAGTTATGAGTCAGTTCTAACTCCACATCAATGAGTTTTAGTTTGATTACTGTAGAATAAATTCTTCAACAGTGTGGAATGTCTTAATTATCCAAGTATATATGGAATGAACATAACTGGAGGATTCCAATGCATACAAGACTACTATATACTATGTGCCTCCGTCATCAATCATTAAAAAGTATGAATTGTTTCACTTAAAAAAAAAACCCTCCCAAATGTAATACAAAATATCAAAGAAAATGGCTTTTGTATAAAATTAAAGAACTTTTTCAGGACTCAAGTTGATCCCATCACAGTTAGATTTTATTATACATATTTTCCCTTTTAAAATAGTTTTACAAACTTGAAAAAATTGCTATACATTAATTCACATTTTTATTATCTTAGATTTAATTATTTATTTTTTTTATTTTTTAATTTCAATGTCTTAATGCAATATAATTAAAGAAGCCTTCTCTAATTGTCCAGGTGTACAATAATTAAACATTTATGTATCTGATGGGTGGATGGAGGGATGGGTAAAGGAAAGGGGAAAGATCCGGTATAAAAAACAATGTATATGAACTTTATGAACTTTGTATGTAAATCAGTATAAAATAAAATAACATTTATATATCTGGATGATTTTACCTCTTATATTATCTCTTACTGAATATCTTTCCTTATTCCTAAATTAGACGATATCGAATTGTGATGCTAACAGAAACACACCACAAAAAAAAAGGTGGTTTTTAAAGAAGAGTGACTGGTGACATTTGGCAAAAGTTTTCAGACAATTCTGGTTGTCACAACTGAAGGGCAGTTCTACAAGACATCTAACACAGAAAAGCCAAGAATGCTTTTAAACATTGTATAGTACAAAGCCATTGTTGTTGTTGTGCACCGTCAAGTTACCTGTGACCCATAGCAACCCATACAGTAGCTTTGAACATTGCCCTGTACTGAGCCAGTCTAACTAATTCTGACATACCCACCCCCACTGCCCCAATCACTATACCAATCCATCTCATCTGGAGTCTTCCTATCCTGTGCTGTCCCTCCTCCCTTCCAAGCATGATGTCCTTCTCCAGAGACTGATCTCTCCTGGCTACATGTCGAAAGTTTGTAAGACGGAACTTCAAAATCCTAGCCCCCAAGGAGAAACTTGGTTTTACCCTCTCCAAGACAGATCTATTTGTTTTCTTAGCAGTCCAAGATGCTTCTCCAGCAACACAATTCAAAGGCATCAATTCTTCTGTCATCTCTAGTCATTGTTCAGCTCTCTGATGCATAACAAGTAATTGTGAAGACCATGACCTGGATTAGAAGCACCTTAGTCTCTAGACTGACATCATTGCTTTTCAGCATTCTAGGGAGGTCCCTGACAGCAGATTTTCCCAGTGCAATTCATCTTTTGATTTCCTAACTGCTGGTGTTAAGAGTGTAGATTGTGAAGCCTAGAAAGCTGTAACTGTTAACAACCTCAATCTCTTCTGCATTCATCATGATGCTGCCAATTGGCTTAGTGGTGAGAATCTTTGTTTTCCTGATGTTGCGCTTCAATCCACATTGAAGACTACAGTCCTTGACCTTCTGCAGCAAGCATTTCAGGTCCTCTTTAGTTTCAGCAAGGCTGTATCATCTACATAACATAGGTTGTTGATGAGTCTTCCTCTAATTCTGATGTCTCATTCCTCCTCATAAAGCCCTCCTTCCTGAGTGAACTGTTCTGCATATAGACTGAAAAGCTCCCATAAACCACAATAAATGTCAATGGTCCAAAATGTCAATCATATCAACGTTGAAAAACTCTGTCCTAAATCAGCATCTTCTGTAAAACTAGAAAATGTAACCCATTCCTGTATTCTTTTTACAGAATTTTCCAGAAATTATTCTTGATCTCTTTTATTTACAGCCTGTGTTGTTGTTGTTTGATGCCGTCGAGTCATAGACGACTCACAGCGACCCTACAGCCTGAGCACTGTTCATACATAGAGTTTCCGGAGGCAAGCCATTTCAGAAGTGGATGCTGCTCCTTACAGCCTACCCAGTCCTAAAAGTTTTCCAAAGCAGAAGATCCTAACTTATTCAGAGAATGAGATCAGCCAACACTAAATCCTATGCTATTATTAATGCTCTAAATGTTATTTAGAAAATAGGCCTGCAGAGATGCTATCCACCAGTCAAAATAGGAACAAATTCCCTCTATGCGTCTTCAAGAAAAAACTAAACTAACGCATTCTTGAAATTCAGATAGTCTCGCATTACATTATGGACCAATTGTCTATTTTCCCAACATTTTAAATCAGAAACTGTCAATCCCAGCCCTCCAACCAAGTCCATAACTTTTTATCCAGTACAGATCCTTACTACACATTGGGCTAATGTCCTTGCCAGACCACGATGTCCTTGGCTTTAATATTTTCATCTTCTCATTTATCAAACTAATTCCCCTTATTTGCTTTCATTTTTCTTTCTATACAGTTTTCTTCAATACTTTTCCAAGCTTTTAGAGGCTCTCTTACAGCAGACCACAATAAGGCCTCAATATATGGAAAGGCCATCTCCAATAAGAACATTATGGTCGCACTGGCTCAGCAAGATGTTCTGCTGCCTCCACTACTAGCAGTACCAAGTACTTGTTTTAAACTATCTGAAGATGATTCTAACAGCCTAGTATTGTTATTCCCTCATACATTCTTTTGTTTAAAAAAGATTTTACTCCATTTATATAATGCTCTAAAAATAGACATTAAGTTATCGTGTTTAAAATCAGTATCATGGTTACATTTGCGCTTGATGGGTGGATGGTAGGATGGGTAGAGAGTGAGTGAAAGAAGGGAATCTGATATGCTAATTATGTTTTCTTAACCTGAGTGCTGGAGGCACAGATGTATCAACTTATGAAATTAATGAAAGTTCATTCAACTCTACTCTTAGGATTTGTGTTATTTTTCTGTATGTATGTTTTACTTCAATAAAAAGTTTTTAAAAAAGTCATACTGTGTTGTTGTAGTTATGTGCTGTTGAGTCACTTGTGACTCATAGGGACCCGATGTAAAATAGCCCTGAAACCTGCTCTATACTGAGCCAACCTTATTGTCTCTGACACACCTACCCTCATTATCCCAGTTAATCAATTCATCTCATCAATGATCTTCCTCTTTCTCTGTCCCTCTCAAGGACTGGTCCCTCTTTCAACATGCCTAAAGTATGTCAGATGAAGCCTCAGAATCCTTGCCTCCAAGGTTTCACCTTCTCCAGGATGAACCTGTTTGTTTTTCTGGCAGTATATGGTATATTCAACACTCTTTCCCAGCACCACAGCTCATAGGCACCAATTCCCTTTTGCACATCCCTAGTCAATGCCCAGGTCTCTAATGCACAACAAGCAACTGCAAAGACTGACATAGTTGCTCCTCAGTAACTGGAGATAAAAAATTTTCCCTATTATCAGATTAGACCAAATAACAGAATGTTGTTTGTTGTTATATGCCTTCGAGTCCCCTGCGACTCATAGCAACCTTATGTACAACAGCCCTAAATCCTGCTCTGTCCTGTGCCAATCTCACTGTCTCTGACACACCCACCCACATTACTCCAGTCACTGAATCAATCTACCTCATAGAGGGTCTTCCTCTCCTGCACTGTCCCTCCACCCTCCCAAGCATGATGTCCCTTTCCAAGGACCGGTCCCTCCTTACAACATGTCCAAAGTAGTATGTCAGACGAAGCCCCAGAATCCTTGCGTCCAAGAGCAGCCCGGTTTAACACTCTCCAGGATGAATCTGTTTGTTTTCCTAGCATTCCATGGTACCCTCAATACTCTTCTCCAGCACCACAGCTCAAAGGCATGAATTCTCCTTCTATTCTCCCTAGTCATTGTCCAACTCTGTGATGCATAGCAAGTGATTGCAAAGACCATGGCCTGTATCAGTTGCACCTTAATTTCCAGAGTGACAACATTGCTCCTCAGTGTTCTGGAGAGGTCTCTAACTGCGGACTTTTCCATCACAACACGTCTTTTAATTTCCTGGCTGCTGATGCCAGGAGTGTTGACTGTGGAGCCAAGCAAACTAAAGCTTTGAACAATCGCAATCTCTTCACCATCCATCCTGATGCTGCCAACTGGCCCAATGGTAAAATATTTGATATTGAGCCTCAGTCCATATTGAAGGCTGTAGTCCTTGATCTTCTGCAGCAAGTGCTTCATGTTCTCTTCAGTTTCAGCAAGCAGGGTTGTGTCATCTGCATAATGCAGATTATTGATGAATCATCCACCACACCTAATGCCACACTTCTCATAGAGTCCAGCCTCCCGGATAATCTGTTCTGCATATAAGTTGAAACGGTATGGGGATAGGACACATCCCTGGCATACATCCTTCCCAACTGGCTACAGCATAAGAAAATGTCAGTAGCTGAAGTGTTTGGAATCACAGAAGCCCATAAAGCTTGAGCTATAAGCTTATCAGATCAAGGGCTAGATAATGGGAGATAGGTGTTGAAAGGAGTGGATGGGGATGCTGGTGGATGGTGAAATAGGGAAAGAAATGGGTTAAGACACTTGTGTCAATGGCGAGGACAACACTGAAATTAATGGTTCATTCCATAATTGGGGGAATTATCTTTCATCTGCTTTTTTCTGTAAAACGCTTAAATCTGAGCATTCAGATTAAAACAGACTAGGAAGAAGGACTGGCCATC